GTGCAGAAGACTATGAAAAGCACTGAAGTAAACTTTCCAACAGTTATGCATTAAGCAGGGAAAATATACTTGTTTAAACACAAGTTTCATCTCATGGATCAGCAAACAAAAGCTGGTTATCATCCAGACATCAGAAAGAGGCATTGCATAAGTACAATCAAGATCTAACAATGGTCTCTGGGTGACCTTTAGGCAAAGGAATGAACAATTTACAGTAAGTTTCATGTGGATTAAACCATGCAAAAAAAAAGTTAGCTAAGTATTGGTGTTACCTCCCCCTAAGAAAATCAGGGGTTGTTTTGGGCAGATTAGTAGCTGAGCATTTTTCTAGCTCCCCATGACAGGCAAAGAGCACCAAAGCAGAGGGAGTAGGATGGGGGAGAGCTCTCTCAGTGCTGCAATGGCAGGACAGAGCTCCACAAGGGCACCTCAATGAGCAGCTTGCACTGACTGCTCATGCTGAATTCTTACAGCACTTTTGTCCTTCCTGCCTGGAAAGTAACCAGTGATCCACTATTATCTTTATAATTGACATGATTCCTCTAGTTCTGGCCTAGTCCAGCTGACCTGTGACATAACCCACTTTTCCAAGGTGCCCACCTGGCCTCCACACAACCTGCTCTGTAAGATGAGCTCGAGAGCCAACTGGGTGCTCCTCAGAGTTTCCTGGGCATGCAGGTCTGTGCTTTTCTCCATGTGTTTATCAATTAATAGTCAGGCAAATGCTGAATTACCTCATAAAGGAAAAAGTCCCAACAAAACCAAAAAAACATAGAACAAAAAAACTACCACCCATAAAGTTATAGATCCCTGAGTAAAATTACCCTGAGGAGCCCTCAAAATGAAAGATGATGCACAAAAAAAAAAAAAAACAAAACAAAGTAAAGAAATACAGAATTTTAACTAGCATAGTTTTGTACTTTAATGAAAAAGCCATACATAATAAGGGCCCACACATCATTGCTAGACTTAGACTCATTAAAAACAGCATGGATTTGTTTTTTTAGCAAACTGCTATCGTGTGATAGTACATTATAAAGTCAAAAAGTATTTAACTGTGAGTGCTTAAACCACACATACCACATAAAAAACCCCTACATCTGCTAAAGAACATGACAAAGAAAGAGGATTATTTGAAATGCAAGATTGGCATAACATTTTGTAACCGAGAATGAGACACATCACGCAAGCAAAAAAGGTGTTGCTTTCTTTGGTTTGGGTTTTTTTTAATGTTCATGGCCAACTGGACTAAGCCTACTGATTGCTGCAACATCAGCTGATAGATTATACTTTTTGGACAGCTTTCCTAAGTTTACTGTTCTGCCTCTTTACAATAATATTCAGCTCCTATGGTAACAGGCACTCACACACTAAGTAAATCATCCCACAATATGAAGTCACCTGAGCATTAACCAGAATTTGTGCAGAGCAGCTGTAATTAATTGGGCTATTAGGAAATACCATCTTCTGTCACTGCTGAAAAGAAAAGTTGATCTGTTTTACTCATACTAGCCTCCTAGGAAAACCAGAATTATTCTAGAAGTATCTGTTCACCAAGAAACTGATGAAGACATGAGGCATAAGAGAGCTTACACCCCACTGTAAAGACTGAGATTTGTTTATGGGACACAATTCCAGTCATCCATGTGCAAGTAATGAAACAGTCATACAGAGAAGATGGACACAAGGAAAAAACAGTTCTTATTTGCAAGGGGTTTACCACAGCTTTTGCAGTTTCTGATATTCCAAACAGAACCATTCAGGAAATACCACTACAATTATTTTAAAAGGGGGGGGAGAAAAAAAAAGGTAGCAGAGGCATCCTCAAATCTATAATTTTTTGGCACCACAAGTCAGATTTGATTTCTGGTTCAGATACAATTGGTAGCAAACTACCTGCACCTCCTCTTCTTTTGAAAGAGAACTACTGAGAGCTCTTGCCACAGCACTTACTGCAGCTACTGTGTATCTCACAGGGAGGTGCCCCAGTCCCTGATGAGCTGCAGAGGCTGATATTCCCAGGTGAGCCTTGCTGGGATCAGCCCTGGCTCCCAGGAAACTGCCCACAGACTGTGGGAAAGATGGAAATAACCACAGCAGCAGCACATATAAAAACTCAGCAATGCAAGAAGTAACAGAAGCACTGGGCTGAACATGGAGCTGCTGCTTATTCTTTCTCCCAGATAGTTTTTCTTACATTTCATTATTAGTTCAGTAAACAACAGATGTTGATGAGGAAAAAAAAAAACCACCAAGGCACCCCCAAGCAAGAATGAGAACATTTCCTGATAAGTTCCTTCAGCAGATGCTCCTTCAAACTTGGCTGTAAAGACAACTGAACTAAAGATGGTACATTTTCACTCTTCTATAATATAAGAAAGGTGTGGTGATTACTAGAAGATACTCTAAGTTGTTTAATAATTTAGAAAGTAACTTTCCCAAGTGTAAACAAGCTATCTAGTAAAAGCAAAAGAGGAGCCTTTAAGCATCTAATATGAACAAAAAGCTGTATTTACACCAGCCTGAAATTAAAAAAAAAAAAGTGCAGAAATTGGCTAACTTTTGGAAATAAGAAATCTGCTCATCATCACTTGGATTGAAAAGATATTTCTTTTCCATGATGCAATTTCTGCATATTTTAAGAACTTCCAGTAAAGGATCTGGTATTAGAAACCATAGGGAACACAACCCTAACAAATTATCTAACAGAAGTTTGCTCCTGGAGATGGTTCACACTGCTTCCTTTCCATTGTCACTTCCCTAACAGAGCAAGTCAAAGCTTCACTCCCAAAAGACAGACACAAACAAATGGTGGGGAGGGTGGGAGAAGTTAAAAAATAAAATCAAGTTTGGCTTGTAAGCAGCAGCATAGCTGATAGCTGTCTGAATTTCTGGGTACCAGGTACAGATCTGGTTTCACGATGCTTTCCCTGGCAGAGCTGCTTGGTGCTTGAGGTTCTCGTAAGTCAAGAGATGAGGCAAATGCTTGTAAAGCACAGAGAGGAAACTGACAGAACTGACAAAATGTTTACCAAACAGTTTGGTTTTCTCACAGAAAGAACTGCTATGTTTGCTTCTTGCTTCCTAATAAACAGCTTTTCATTAACAGGAAGCCAGACAGTTCAGGTTTTCACATAAAGCCACTTATTTCCAAGTCCAGCATAAACTTTCCACCACAACAAGGACAACTACCTGATACAAACCCTCCCCAAACCACCACCTGAAGAATGTGTATTCTAGACAGGGCATACAGTAACCTCACATCAAAAACCAGGCAGTACTCTGCTTGTATTTACTCACTATGCTCTATCATTCATATACTTTTTACTACTTTACTCTTCCTACAAAGGTAAGAAGAAATAAAGAAATAAAATTTGAAATAGGAGCAAAGAAAAATCTTACATTTTGACAGTGGCTACTACTGGGTCACACAACTTACAGAGTATTTGTCTTCTGCTTGGGAGCTTTGTTTACCCCTTCATGCTTACTACCTCAAGCAGTAGAGGAAAGGACTGGGTGAGGGATGAGATAATGGAAATTTATTTGGCTATTAGAGGAAAAAGTTAAGGCAACCTTCATCTTCCTACAGAACTCTAACTTTTGACCCTTCACTACCACTTCTTACACAAAAATACCCATGTGGTTTTGGTTTTCAGACACTTTTGATGAGCACATCTTTATAAATAGTTGTTGCTGCTCTGTTTCTCCAAATTCCTTTCTCTTTACCGCATTACATAATGAGATTTTTCTACTAGCTCTAAAGCATTAACTGATTAAAGATTAACTCACCCCCAGGAGAGACCATCTCAATTAAAAAAATTCCAATCATTGTAGTCACCAAGTCAAACTGCAGCTCTTCAGTGACCAACCCAAGTCACCAGCTGCTGCTCGCTCCCACAGCCTCCCTTCCACTGCTGCAAGGAGGAAGGCAGGTCCCTGACAGGGGATGCTCACGTAGGGAGCACCCAAAGCTCCCAGTAAGTGACCAAAACGCCTTCTTTGTGACATGCCAGGTAAAGCATTTGTCAAGGGTTTCTTCTGAAAATGTACACAAATATGTGAGTTACCGTGTTAATGTAACATTAAATGTTTACAAAACAGTAGATCCAAAGGGAAAAGCGCCCTCTTGAAACCAGCACCGTCTCTTCTTGTTGATCCAGACACACCCTGAGATTTGTCACTGTAAGGCCTGAAACTCACCTCGGTTCTCACGGGCTCCTCAGACCAGACAGCTGGGAACAGCCCGAGGGAATCACCCCGCTCAGCAGCATCCTCAACTGGTTCAAACCCACTCATGTGCTCTTTAGCAACAAAACCAGCAATTACTACTCCTGTTTTGTCAAAAGCTGCCTACGTAACTTCCACTGAGAGCAGATAATTCAAAACATACTGGGACAAAATATGTAGCCTCAAGGAAAGAAAAAAAAAAAACTTCAAAAAAACCCCAGACAGCGGAGCAAAGGGCCGAGCCGGTCCCACGGCCGCTGTCAGCCCTGCGGATCCATCCCCGCTGCTCCGGCCGGGACACCCGGCTCCCTGCGCGCCGGGCTGTTCCTCGAAAGCCGAGAGCCCGCAGCGCCTGCCCGGGCGGGATGTCCCTTCTCACCGACGGAAGGAACGCCGGGGGACCGGGACCCTCCGAGCCGCAGCGGGGCCGGGCAGCGGCACCATCCGCGACACCAGGGCCGGCCCGCCCCAAGCGGCATCTGCCTGCCCGGGCTGGGGCCGGGGCGCTCGGCTCCGCTCCGGGGCCACAGGGAGCCGCTTCCCTCAGCCCGAGAGGCCACGGCAGCGCCCGGAGCAGGCACCGGCCCACGGGGCCCCCGCCGACCCGGGCCCGCGTCCAGCGCCCAGGGAAGCGGCTGACAGGACGGGGCTCCCGTTCCGGCGGGGAAAGGGGAGCCAGACACGGCACGGCGGGGACCGGGGCCCCTCTCGCCGCTCCCGGCCGCCGCCACCGCCCCGCGCCCCCCGGGCACCGCCGCCGCTCCCGCCCTCACCTTGGAGCATGGCCTCCAGTTTCTTCCTGTCCACCCGGAATCGCTCCTCGCCCCACTCGGGGCTATGCAGGGGCCGCGGCGGCCCGGCCGAGTCCTCCTCGGAGCCGGGCGCGGGCGAGTCGGCGCTGCGCTCGCTGTTGGAGCCCGGGTCGGAGAGCGGCTGGGGCAGGTACCCGCTCAGCGGGTCGCACTGCGCCGCCATGGCGCTGCCCGGCGGCCGCCGCCCCGGGCCCCACTCGGCCGCCTCGCCGCGGGACGCTATCTGCCCCCAGAGCCGCCCGGCCGGCGCATCCCAGCCGCCGCCGCACCGAGCCCCGGCGCCGCCCGCCCCTGCCCGCGGCTCCCCGCCGAGTGAGCGCGGCCCCGGCCCGGCGGCGTCCGCGGCTCGGCGGCGCCCCCAGCCCGCCCGCAGCCCGCACAGCATCCCCACCTCCATTGGGCCGCCGCCCGCCGGGGAGGGGCCGGGGATATCCCCGGCGGGAGGGGGCAGCGCCGCGGCCCCGCAGGAGGGCGGGGAGGGCGGAGGGAGGGCAGGGGAGGAGAGGGGAGGAGAGGGGAGATGCCACCGCCCCCAGCGGCACCGCCCCCGCCTGCGGGCGCCGGGCCGGGGTCTGTGCCAGCCGGGATCGCCCTGCCAGCCGGGATCGCCCTGCCAGCCGGGGTCCCGCCGCACCCGCCGACCCCCGGCCCTGAGAGCGCGTCGGCCGTGACCGTGCGGTGGCGGGCGACACACAGGACAGGCGGGTGGCGGTCCTGAGCCGCACCGTGCCCAGAGCCGATCCCGAATCGCGCCCGTGAGGGCGGCCCGGCCGCATGCCCTGCAGTCACTGCCTGGGGCCGCGTCTGGCACATCCCCTCCCGCCGGGCAGGGCCCCGAATCCCCGCTCGGACATTTCGCTGCACGAAGCCTCCTGAGGGAGAAGTGCCTTGTGCTGCTGCACCTCAAGAGACTGGGTTACACATCCCTCACCTTCCAGCAGAACTGCGCTTACATCCCAGCTGGATGTACTCCGGCACAGTTCGTGCCGCTTTGCAAACAGTTTGAGCCCAGAAGCACGCAGTGGTGTACAGGAAACATGAACATGAGCTGCGACACTGGCCTGCTGGCAGTGGTGGCATTTTGCTGTTCCCTCAGTCACACACTGCCCAGGAGGCCCATCACTGCCCAAGTGGGACTGTCCAAATCACCCCGACAAAGAGTGAAGCATGGACATCCCACTCTCTTTGGGTCTGCTTTGTTTCTACTGAATCAGAGAAATCCTTTCTGACACAAAAAGTTGCATACCACACACTCCAACAGCAGCTTTCTGCTTCAGTTGATTGCTGTTTTCTGCTGTTTTCCAGTCTGCTAGATAGAAGACGATCCAGCAGCACTGGGTCTGGAATCCCACAAGGTATCCTACACTGCTGTAGATGACTGTCTCCTCCAGATCTGCAGCATCCATGCTTTTCTGGTGGCCAAACCAGGTTACTGGATGCACTCTGGATGCCAACACAAAAATTACAGCTGATGTGACAGTGAACTCACGTCATTGATAGCATCAGCCTGAAGGACCCTGCTAACATTGGTGAGGACATTTGCTGGTACTCCAGGTAGATCCAGGGACCTGCACTGTGCCCAGTCTCAACATGCACTCACTTTTACAAAGTTCCAGTTTGGGCTTACTGAGTCTTCACATATTTCCCACTTAGTTCCATGACAGTATAAATTCTACAACACCCAGGATTCCAGTTGTGCATTACGTGCATGGAGTGAGGCATTCTCAGCCTCTGTGGATGCTAGCCAGCAGCTTGCAGGTAACAACACACTGCTCACAAGATCCTCTGCTACTTCCCATGGCCCCAGGAAATAAAGTGTCTGAACTCAAAAACACTAGAACAAAATATGAATGTAGGTCTTGAAAACAGTGCAATCTCCCTTTCTCTTAATATTTTCTCGTAGCGTGATCTCAATATAGGTGTGCGGGGCAGTCTCAGGAAAGACTGAAAGTCTTTTCCTTCCCAGTTGAGAAGTTTACAGTCATCAAGCACTTTTTTCTTTCTTTCTTTTTTTTTTCTTTTTTTTTTCTGGTAGATGAGAAAGTGAACATTGTCCTTATCAAAGCAACTTGAAATTCAGCGAAGTGTGCTGCCTCGCCCCAGAGCAACACCAGCTGGAGTTGTGTGTGTCTTCTAGATGCCAGGACCTGTCAGTTGTACAATCCAAATATTCACAAGTGGTGAGTGTTGACAGCACCAGTTACAATCCACAACAGCTACAGGTGCTTAGCTCCTCTGAGCAAAACAATTATTTGGGTATTTTCCACTCATAAACGAGTGAGATTTACAGTCAGAGATTCTCAGTGTAGGAAGCCCAGGAGGTCCCTTTCCTTGTGTTTTATCCATTCCTGCAATACAGCCACAGAAATCTTCTTTCTCATCAGTTAGTTGAACCAAAAGTAATCTTTTTTTCAGCAGCCATAAAAATAATATAATCAATCAAAGACCTCTTAAAAATAATTTTGTCCGCAGTTTAGTTTTTATTCGCTGAAAAGAACCCTTTCTTAATGTGCTTTTAGATTAAAAAAAAGAAGTAAATGCTTTGATTTCCTACTGAAATCCATATAAATGCTTTTAAAAGGATACAGCCATTAGGCATTATTATTGGTAGTTAAATTCAGTACTCTACCACTTCAATTGAATAAATGACATTTTATTTTCCTAGTCTATTGCAGGGGAAGAATAAAATGCCTGTTACACAGAAAACTTGAACTAAGTAGAAAAACACATTTCAATGGCTACATACTATTACATGTGGATAAAACTGGGGAAATGGGTGGAAGTTGGCAGATACAAAATCAAATGGCTAGAAAGAACATCAGCTGAAGTTGACTTTGGCATATATAATTTATGTTGGACATTTTTTCTGGGGCCAATAGCTTGATCAAAGAAAAGAATAACAGGATCTTTCTCATTCTGGTGTACCATGTCTATTTTGCTACATTCTCTGCCTTCTTTTTTCATCCTGGTCTCTTTCCCTCACCTCACACATACACATATAATATCTGCAAATCTCAGAAAAAGCATCACTGAATAGGAGAATGTTTCATTATCCCACTCAGCCTCTGTGCAGAGCCCACCTTCATTGGGGTGAAATCCTGGAATTTAAAGGAACTTCATGAACTGGGTGATCCACTGTAATAAGTCCCACATGTCTGGGGCTGTACAAAGTCCCCAGACTGAGAGAAGTGCAGGATCTCTCCTGGGAAGGGGGTGGCTCTGCCCTGGGCTAGGGGATGAGAAATGAGGGTCACCATGCAGGGAGCAGCACTGGACGTGCTCTGCTCTGCTTTGGGGCTGCTCCCAGTGCATGGGGCTGATGGCTGGGTGTGTCTGCCCAGCAGGGAGAAGTGAAATATAAACAAAGAGTCAGGCTGTGTAACTTACCCTTAGTACAGCACAGTCTGTATCGCAGAGCTTGCATTTATTTATTGTTCTTCATCTCAAATTTCTCTACTTCACAGCATCAGGATGAAGCAAAGTACTCTTTTCTGTAGTTCCCTGAGGTGGGTGCAGAAAGGGCAGTTTGAAAAGCTGCAAAGTGAGGGTGGGGAAAGAGAAGGTGGCATGCAGATTCTTTCATCTGTAGTATCTAGAAGTGCTTTTCTAGAAGGAGTGCTGAAGTTTGGGTTTGTTTGGGAGAGGTTATTGCTAGTGAAAATTAATGCTGGTGGTGTTTTGAAAGGCTTTATTGCCTTCACTGTTTTAGAGAAGTAAAAGCCTATAATATTTTGTCTTTTCATGATGCTATACCATATTCCCCAAACAAGTCCCATTAACTTAAATTTCTGAGAATAATATAATGTGTCTTACTCTGTTCTAAAGTAGTGTACACCCACCAGCAAATAAATACAAGGTCTGCCACAGCCATTACAAAAACTTCTCCACCCCTAGAAATTCCCCAGATAAATTCTAACTGAAAGGGCAGAGAGATTCTGAATCATCTTTTTAGTGATAGAGAATTATGGAACCATAAAACAAAAAGATTGAAAGAGATAACAAAAAATGTTATCTCGTTCATCTCCTAACTATGCTGAGTTCATTTCTGATAGATATTTATTTATTCACTCCTTTACAATTTCTCATGATGAGGTCTTCATGACCTATCCAGGAAATTCCTGTGTTTCACTTACCATCAAGAAGTATTTTCTCCCTTTAATAAGTAACTTGGATTATTCTTCCTACCACCTAAAGCTATTAGTTTTTGTCCTGTCCACCATGGACACATTGAATGAATTATTTATTCTTTCTATCAGACTTTGGTGCTTATAAATACTTTTATCAAGCTTTGATTAATATTTAAGAGTTACCTTCATTAAGCTAGATACTCCTAAGCCTTTCAGCTCATTCTCAGACTCATGTTTTTTGTTGGTCTGCAACAAACTCTTTCCATAGTGAGCTACATCCTTCTTGAAATACAAGCACAAAACTGCAGGGAGTACCCCAGCTGAGGCCTGACCAGTGCTGGACAGACCTGCATGACCTTACCAGCTGCCTCACAACCTGTACTCCTGAATATTCATTTTTATCCAGTGCTTATCCTGTCTGCATGGCATTGCTGGCTTGTGTTGATGAAGTGTAACCCCCCAGGTCCTTCTCTGAAAATACCATTGTCCAACTAATTGTTCTTTGGTGCATTTTGGTGTGGCATTTGAGTATTGTTGCTCAGCATGGTCTTCTGGTCTTGTCCCAAATGAATTTGATCCTGGTTTTTCTGAAAGATTGTGTTCCTGGTTTTTGACATCTATTTGCACTACTGCTGTACTTCTGCAGCTTCAGTTTTTACACCCCTCAGAGCATCCTTTCAGTTTTCTCACAGAACCATCAGTAAAACACAGAACACAGTGGGCCCAGGATAGAATATCTGTCTGTTTTATTACATCCTTCCATCCTAATGGTCACAACAGTCCTGTGTGGGGATGCTTATTGCACATTTTGTGTCATTGACAACTTTTGCTGTATTTTATGGGAATGTTACAGGAAATAGGATTTAAACTCTGCTGAAGTCCTGAGTTATGGCCACTGCTACGGACATTCCTGGTTTGCTACAGTAGCACATTGATCTAGTAGAATTTATTCTTGTCACAGCTATACTTGCTCTGTGTGACTCTTGTTATTAGGTTACCTATTCCAATTACTTGTTTTTACTCCAGAATATTTCTG